AATTTCACTCTCTCTCATCGATGTTTCTAGCTTTCTATCTCTCTCCCTTTCTCTCTGTACAAAATCAATAAAATATATTTTTAAAAAATTTCTCTTTCATCTGTACTCTTGAACAACATATTAAAATGACAAGAAAATTGATTATTAAGCTAAAATATAGGTATATTATTACTGGGAAAGTATTCACATTTCAAAAAGTAAAACCTGTGGTAAGTGGGAATTTATGAAGCCAAGATTAAACAAATAGGTCTTTAAAATAGGGAGTCTTCCTAATGACCGGTTGTATGGCTTTGTATCATATCCGACTAAGCAACTACCACCCATGTCCTGATAAAGAATCATTTAGTTTAGCCTAAACCGGTTTAGCTCAGCGGTAAAACGTCGGCCTGCGGACTGAAAGGTCCCAGGTTCGATTCTGGTCAGGGGCATGTACATTGGTTGTGGGCACATCCCCGGTAGGAGTTGTGCAAGAGGCAGCTGGTTGATGTTTCTCTCTCATCGGCATTTCTAGCTCTCTATCCCTCTTCCTTCCTCTGTGTGGAAAATAAATAAAATATGTTTTAAAAATCATTTAGTTCATACATAAGATCATGCAACTTCAGGCAGCTGAAGCAATCTATGAATAATGAATATATGAGTTATTTTTTTATGTGGGTCCCCAAAAAGTATTAAAAATACTTTCTGGTAAAATTTCTGAAATCCTATAATACATAAAATAAAATGAGAGAAAAATAGCAGGAGCAGAAGGAACATGAGGAATAGAGGAGGTAGAGGAGAGGGAAAAAGAAGAAATAAAAATTTAAACAAAAAGTATTTTGTTGTCGTAACATCCAAACCCGTAGAAAATTTTTATGCTTTTACTGAAGGTAAACTGATGGCATATGCCAGGGAGCAAGATCTCAGATTCTCTGGAGAATAGCAGTTTTGCAGCTTATTTTATACATTTGAATAAAAGGATAAGACATAGAAAAGGTACATGAAATCCACTGGTGGTAGATTAAGGGAATGGGAGGAAGCATATAACAGGACTGGATAAAAGGCAAAATGGAAAAACACTTTTACCTTGGTGGGTACAGGATAGTTAATTAAGATTTGCAGCACATAGAGATAGTATGCAGGGAACAAGATAACAGTGAGGGGTTCTGTGGTCCTATACTCTGGTGGCCTTGAGTCTGATGCCTGTGGTGTGACTTTGACGGGTAGGAAAAGAAAAGTACTGTGACATTTCAAAGCTTTGCTGTCCTAGATGCTTAAGAACCATGGACAGAGCTCACTTAAGGTTAAGAGTGCCCTTTGCTTAGGAGGCTATCGGCCCTAGGATGACTACCTGCCATGACCTGCTCAGTTAGAAACTTGATCAGACCATCCTGTGTGGTTACTTTTGGTCACTGAGCTTGTCAGGCCTGCCTTGTGGTCCCATGAGCTTGTTAGGCGTATGTCCCCTTTTCACTCACAATTTGTGGAGTGTAAATGTGAGTTTTACTGCTTAGCCTTGTAATTAGTATAATTTTGTTTTTCAAGGAGCTTAAATCATTAGAAAAAAAATCTAATATTTTAAATTTGTGATTGTAATTAAGTACTTAAGGTTTTTGAGTGTTTTTAGTTTATAAAGCACATTAAAACAAGATACCAAATCCATGGATTTACCAGCACTGCTCATATTGCTGTGGCGTCTCAAATTGGTTGAACTTTTGGAAAGCAAAATAGTAGCCAGGTTTCAAGAGATCCCCAGTCCCTGATGAAAGGGGAAAAAAGAAACAAAATATCAGCACAGGTACTGGTGGGATAAGATGGGAAGGGGAAGGAATTATAGGTTCAGAGAAGAAAGAAGGAGTTAGCAAAAAAACCTGGCGAATAAGGATTGTGATTAAAGCAAAGGAGCCTAAAATTGGTCTCAGAAATCTCAAGGTCAGGGATTATATGCAATGATATGAGTCCCAAGGAAGAATGGAAGTGGAAAAGAGATGAACAGAAATATAAGTGCAGGACCAGCAGAGATGAAGAGCAGCTGTCATAGGAGATAATTAGAGTGAGGAAGAAAGGGGTTTCTGAAATGGTGTTTTGAGGTGGGGAGTTTTGCTTTTGTTTTTCTTTCTAATGGCACCATCAAGAATTGGGGATAATGGGATAAATCTGTGATACTCTATAATCGTTATGTAACTATAGATATGTAATCAAAATGATTTCTCCCACAAATTCAGGATGGGGAGATTGTTGTTTTCCAACACCTTACTAAGAACACACCTCTCTCTTCCCCTGAGTTGTCTAAGAATATTTATTTAGGCCTATGGACTCCCAAACACATTCCAAAACACAGAGTCTGTTTCATTCACTGTCACGTGGTGTGGTTGCCTTGGCTTATGGTGCTAGAATGATCATCTTGTTCAAGTAGAATGTATAGGTCAGCAAGGTTTTCTGAGGGCAGAGGATCCCCACTTGTTTAGAGCTAAGCACAACCCCAAATAAGCAGCGCATGTTTAATACCCTCTCTAGGTTTGTAGTCAGCTAATTTCAGCACTTGAAACACAGTCTTTCTTCTTTCCCTCTCCAGGAATCCGATTTAGAGATGGGGTAGCTTTCCTTTTCAATCCTTAAAACACATAGGGTCTGTTCATCTCTGTCTATATATGTTATTTTTGTATTTTAAAACTCTTAACTAATGTAGTTTTCCCACAGTGATTTCAGAGAGCCTTATAATCATCCTTCTGGAATTCCAAAATGACCCCTGCACCTTCCATTGGAGAAGAAAATTTGCAAAGTAATTATGCCAGTGCTAAAGTAGAACGACATGGGTAAGTGTAGGTTGATGACCATATGAAATTAACAGCAAACATTGATTTCCATTGCTTTAGTTGTATCCAGAAAGAACTGTATGATGTATAGACAAATAGAATAGTATAAGTAAATTCATGCAAGCATTTACTTTCTTTTGCATCTCCTCTAGTCACAAGAATAGTTAATGAGCAAGGAAGGAAGAAGGATACAAATTGAGCGTGTACTATAGATTAGTCGTCATGCTGGACTCTTCCATATATATGTATATATGTTAGGGAAATAGTGTAAACAAAAATCTGGAGATACCTTTCTAAAGTAATTTTGAGAATATATTCAGGTAACAATATGCAAAATGGGACATGGAGTCAGTCTTCAGTATGAACCAAGCATATGTTCAAAATGGAGGGGGTAGGGCCAGGTTTACAAAGGAACTGTTGATCAAAGAAATGGGTTGCTAGGGGAAATAAGACCATACATTTACATAATTTGTTTTCTGATTGGTGGGGGCAACTGAACTTTCAATGATTGGGTGACTTTGATCAAGCTGGCGGGGTTGGGGTTGTGAGGTGAGAACAATGGATAATATATAATTAAGCACTTATCAAGTCCTAGTTTCAGCCAGGCCTGTAGAATAAATAGGCTGTCTTTGATCACACAATTGTAGCACAGAGAGTATTTTTAACAAACAATACAATCAGCACAGAAGGTTCTGCAGACAGTTTCGGAGCCCAAAAGAACAAAGTTATGCTCTGCAAGCAACTTCAGAGTTCAAGCTGCAAAAATCCAAATTTTGGTCTGCAATTTATGATACTAGTATTAAAGCTCTCACAAGTCCTCAACAGGTATTACTGGCACCATGCTACAGAGGAGAAAATGGAGTCTCAGAGATTTTAAGAAATTTATTCCAGATTGTGCAGCTAGAAAGTATCCTGAAATATCTGTGTGCATCCTGAAGTAGAGGTTTTCATTTGCTACTATAAGGTAAGGCAGAAAAAAAAAAAGTTTTCCTGATTCCTTTAAGGTCCCTGGCTAGGCTTAAAAATTAAACTGACAAAGGCAGATTAACAGGAGAAAAGCATACAAATTTTATTGAAGTTTTACATGGACGTGGGAGACTTCACAAGAGAATGAAGATCCAAAGAAGTGTCTAGAACAGGAACCTTTTATACCTTCTGGACAATAAGTTTGTAAAGAATTGACAAGTCAGCCCCTGCCAATTGGGCTCAGTGGATAGAGCATCGGCCTGCAGACCAAAGGGACCGGGGTTTGACTCTGGTGAAGGGCACGTACCTTGGTTGCAGGCTCCTCCCTGCTGGGGACCTGGCCAGGGCTTGTGCAGGAGGCAACCAATTGATTTGTTTCTCTCTCATCGATGTTTCTGTCTTTCTCTCTCCCACTCTCTCTAAAATCAATGGAAAAATAGCCTCGCAGGACTACTTAAAAGAATAATAATTAAAAAAATTGACAAGTTTAAGGTGTAGGAACTAGGGATAGTAAATAATGAAAAAGTAACTGGAAAGGGAAGGGTTAGTTTAACAAGGTTTGCTTATACAGCTAAACTTTATTTCAAAGCCTAGGCCTTTAACCATCCATGTTTTAACCGCTAAGCCTATTAACTTAAATGTTACCCTGAAGGTAAGTTCTAAGGTGGACAGACTTAGATTGTTTGGAATGATAAACATGCATAAATTAACCATGTTGACGTCAGAAAGGATAGGAAATTATTCTAAGTAGGGATGGGGAATGTCTGGGCTCTGAGTCACATAAGGCCCTCTGAAATCATTTGGTCTGCCCTGCCATGACATTAGGCGTGAGTTAATGAAATGTTTGACAAAATATAGCAGGTTAATTTTGACCGGAATCGAACCTGGGACCTTTCAGTCAGCAGGCCAACGCTCTATCCACTGAGCCAAACCGAAACCGGCAGGAGGTTAATTTTTTTTAAAAAATATATTTTATTGATTTTTCACAGAGGGAAAGAGAGAGGGATAGAGAGTTAGAAACGTCGATGAGAGAGAATCATCGACCAGCTGCCTCTTGCCCACAACCAAGGTACATGCCCTTGACCGGAATCAAACCTCGGACCTTTCAGTCCGCAGGCCAACGCTCTATCCACTGAGCCAAACCGGTGCCGGCAGGAGGTTAATTTTTAAGTTGGTAATTTTGTATGGCCTGCGAGTGATGTTATAAATATCTAAGTGGTCCTTGGCAGAAAAAACGTTCCCCACCTCTGATTCTAAAGGAATGAAAATTGATTGTAGTAGGCCCATCTAAGCAAGAATATTTATAAATAGCCGAATTAGCCCGTGTTTACTTGTGATACCTACATTAACTCAAAAGGAAACTTGGTTTAAAAAGTTCACCCTAAAACAATTAAGGTAGCATTATTGGCTCATTAAGAGATAAGTTGGTGAAGGAGGGGTTTGTGTTATTTTAGTACCTTTTAAGGTAGAAGAGGAGGGCTTCTGCCTTTAACTCACTAGCCAATCAGGTACCGAGGCCCCTTCTTAAAGCAACTTCCTGTCTCTCCACTTTCTCTCTCTCCTGGAGGTGAAAGACTGGTAAGTGTGCTCTTAATTTTGTTCCCTAATTGGGTTGAATAGCTCTTCCATTTGGGCCACGTTTCCTGGTGGCAGGCCTCTATTTCAAGACAGAATTGGAGTGTGTGTGTGTGAGGCATAAGGTGATTCAGTTGGGCTGGAGGAGATGGGAAGCAGTGAAATGCTCTGCCTGGCTTGTTTCCACGTGGGCTTCTGTAGTACTGGGTCTGTCTGCCTTCCCAAGACTGGTGACCTACAACAATAGACTTGGCTTTCTGCACACAGTGCACGTGTTCCTGGAACACATCTGAGTTCATTTTACTTGAAGAAAAAGGTGTTGCTATTAGCCTAGTGCTGGTTTGAATGTTATCTCCCTGGCTGAGAGGGTAGATCTTAGCAGTTCAGACCAGTACATTTTAATTCCTCCGTGTCTGCAGGGCCTAGGTACTTACTGGGTTTGTGGGAGCTGCAGTGGATGTTGTCTTTGTCCAGAGCCTTCAGTGTTTTTAGTGAGACTAAGCAACAGACTTTGAAGTCCGATGATTTTAGTGAGCTCCAAAAGAGGTCCCGATTTTAATGTCCTCACTGTGGGGAGGGTGCCCTAAAAAGCTTAGGATGTACTAAAAAAAGATCAGGGACCTAGCTTGATGTAAGCCTAAATCAAATTTATGCCACATTTTACCATTCCAGTGACCTTTGTGAGTCAGTGAGGATCAGCTTATATTTTATTTTAATTTTAATTATTTTAGAGAGGAAAGGAGGGAAACCACAGTTGCTCTTTGTTGCACTCATTGGTTGATTCTTGTATGTGCCCTGACAGGGATCAAACTCACAATCTTGACATATCCAGCTGACACTACTCAGTCCGAGGTTCAGCTTTTGAGGATCAAAATATATAAAGGCCAGGCATTAATTGGTGTGTAATAATGTTAGGTAATTTAAAAGTAAGTGATACATTTTTTTTATTATATTTTTCTCATAAAATGTTTTGCCTAGAGTAGGGGTGTTGAACTCAATCAGAGAAGGGGCCAAAATCTAAAATCCAGCCTAAATCGCGGGCCGAATGGTTTACTGAACAGTCATAAACTGTCATTGTGATGGAAACGCAGCGGAGTGCAGTGATGACAGCGCAGTTCGGGCCACATTGCAAGGCCTGGCGGGATGGATTTGGCCCGAGGGCCTTGTGTTTGACACATGTGGCCTAGTGTCTTTGAATATAATTTCATCCGATTCCCATTTTTCTCTTTAATATACATTAGTTTGAATAAAATGTATGTGTTTGTTATCCTTACAGGCAAAAGGTATAAGAAAGACACCTGTATGGAATTTTAATAATTCTCAAGCATTGTTAAATTAATGTTATTTTTTTATTTTTTATTTTTTTAATATATTTTATTGAGTTTTTACAGAGAGGATGAGAGGGATAGAAAGCTAGAAACATCAATGAGAGAGACACATCGATCAGCTGCCTCTTGCACACCTCCCACTGGGGATGTGCCCGCAACCAAGGCACATGCCCTTGACCGGAATCGAACCTGGGATCTTTTGGTCCACAGTCCGACACTCTATCTACTGAGCCAAACCGGTTTCGGCAAAATTAATGTTATTTTTTGAATAGGTAATACATTCACATCTTTTAAAATTCAAAAGAATCGAAGTACATATAATGCAGTCCTAAGCCAGTTTGTTCCCCTCCACAATATTAGCAGTTTCTTGTGTATTCTTCCTGAGATATTTGATGCAGATATAAGCAGATGTATGTTCTTTCCCTTCCCTCTTCTATGTGCATACAACCACCATGTACCTTACTTTTCCAACTTAAGATTTCCAAATGACTAAATATAGAGTGACTGCATTCTTTATAATGGTTACATAGTAATCAAATGTATTTGCATAACCATCATTTATTTAATCTTTTATCATTGAACATTTAAGTAGCTTACAATGTTGTTTCCTCCAAGTTGAATAGCCTTATCATAACTCAGTTGTCACATCAGACATTTCAGTTGGGTTTTGCTATATACTTGTTTATAAGGATTCTATGTGTGCTTTCTGTTAGTTATATTTATTTTGTGCACATAGTGATGGCTAGAAACCACCATCATAAATATCTTGATTGAGCAATAAAGAATTTTCTATTAAAAGCAACACCATGCTGATGGTTTGAATGTGAGTACATTTTTAAAGTCTTGAGAGAAGGCTAAGATCATGTCTTGTGAAACATCTAGTTTTCCAGTTAGGCTTTGCTGATTGGGAGAAAAATTAGTTTCTTTCCAATGGAAGTATGCTTTTGTTCAGTAATTTTATATAGACTGTATTGGAATCTTCACTGTTAAGTAGGGAATGAGGAAAAGGAAGAAGTAAATTTTTTTTCTTAAAATATGTCAAATCTTGGATTTGGAAGGGACCTTATGAGCATATCAGTGACTTTCTTGGCTTCAAGATTGTTATGAAAAGTGAAATTTTTAGGCAGAATAACTGCATTTATATTCATTAAGATGGTTGAGTTTGGACAGTTAATAGAAACAACATATTAAACATTAAAATTTTTGCCTCACTTACTCTTCACAACAATTATAAGAGGAAGGTGGTATTTGTCCTCATTGTACAGAAAGGGAATCTGAGGCCTGGCCAGTGTGGCTCAGTTGAGTGTCGACTTACTAGTATAAACCAGGAGTCATGGTTGATTCTTGATCAGAGCACATGTCCTGTTTGTGGGGTCTATCTCCAGTAGGAGATATGCAGGAAGTAGCCAATTGATGATTCTCATCATTGATGTTTATCTCTCCCTCTCCTCTGAAATCAATAAAAATATATTTAAAAAAGGGGGGGGGGGCAATTCTGAGGCTTAGGGAAATTGCATAATTTGCCCAAGATCTCAGAAAATATGTAGGGGACCCAAGATTCAAATTCAGTTCTGTCCAACTTACATCCATTATCTCAACCACTAAGTTAAGTTGCCTATCATTTAGTCTCTAACCTTGCTTGCATTACTTGTAAAATGGAGTTGACATAGTACTTGCAAAAAAAGTAATATCTGAAAAGTGCTTTTTATATATTCAAGATGGGCAAAGGATGAAATAAAATATCAAGTTAACAGAGTGGAAGGTCTTTACTTCCACTTGCATCCTGATCTCAAATTATTCCTTTTTGCTGTTTTGACCCAAAGCCCTCCATCTTATATTTTCATTTATTTCACCAGCACTGGGACTGGGTGAAATGGTGGTCACTTGGGATAAACTGCATAGTTAGTGATGTTTCTGACCTCACCACTTTTATTTCATACTAGAGGCCCAGGGCATGAAATCGTGCATGGGGGGAAGATGGGCACTTGGGAGGAGGATCCCTCAGTCCTGCCTGCACCCTCTTCAATCTGGGACTTCTCAAGGGATGTTCAACTGCCAGGTTAGGTCACAATCTGGGACCATTGGCTCCTAACTGCTCACCTGCCTGTCTGCCTGCCTGATCGCCTCTAACTGCTGCGCACGTCTCCCCCTGCCTCCCGCAGGCCTGGTTGCCCCACGCAGCCTGCTGCTCGGTCGTTTGGTCATCCCTCGCCAATCCTCCTGCTGGCCTGGTCACCCCATGCAAAACCCAGATTGGTCTTACCACATAGCTGGCCTGGTCACCCCAGCCTGTTTAGTTGTCCGTTTGGTTGCAGTGGTCGCTTAGGCTTTTAAATATATAGATATGCTCCGAGTGCATACCTCCTGCACTGAGAGGTTATAACAATCACTGTTCCTGGCTAAATTAGCTGACAGTGTGAGGGGAACAAAAGTCTGTCCAGCTAGCATGGCTCAGTGGTTCAGCACCGAACTATGAACCAGGAGGTCATGGTTTGATTGCTGGTGGGGGCACATGCCGGGCTTATGGGTTCAATCCCCAGAATGACATGCAGGAGGCAGCCAATTGATGATTCTCATCATTGATGTTTATGTCTCTCCCTCACCCTTCCTCTCTGAAATCAATAAAACAAAACACTTGGGAGTCTGTCCTGAGAGTAGTGCCCTATAGAGCTAGCTCTAAAGGAGAACTATGCCAAGCAACCAATTTATTTTCCTTTGCTTCAGGTTAAAAATGGGACCCACTGGAGAAGACAGACCTGGGTCTTCAGCACCCTGTGTGCTAGCCCAGGAATGCTATTTGAAGCCTGTTACATCTGCTGCAGACCCCCTAAACACGGGGACTTGGATTTGGACATTCTCAGCAGGAATGGTTATAGGCTGACAGGACCATAAAGGTAGGTACTTCAACTCTCAGTGTTCTCTGTCACATGTATATGTGTCTTTTCTATGAAAAAAAGATAGGGGGGCCCTGGCTGGTGTGGCTCAGTTGGTTGAGCATCATCCTGTGCACCAAAAGGTTTCTAGTTGGATTCTCAGTCAGGGCACATGCCCAGGTTTTCTAACTCATCCTGAGTCAGGGTGAGAGGCAGTCAATCAATGTTATTTGCCCTTTCTCTCTCTCTCTCTCGCTCTCTCTCTCTCTCTCTCTCTCTCTCTCTCTCTCTCTCTCATCAATAATACAAAAACAAAATTTAAGAAAACAACCCCTCAAAAGGTAGGAGGTTCTGTGAGTTACTGTAGTATTCCAAATTGCTAGTAGGCACTGAGTAAAATTGAGTGGCAATATAATTACAAAGAAGCATTAGTTGATTATTAACAATTTTTAGTTTTTATCAGGCCTCATAAAGTGTCTGTTTACATATAAAATGAACCCTCTGGCCATGAGCTCCAGTACTTTGAAGCACTTCTTACAGGGGACAAAACGAGTGGGTCATAGATTGTTTATGGGGTATTTACAAAATATTTACTTTATGCTAGGTAAATACTTGGTAAATGTGAAGTGGCTTTCATGTGGAAGAATGACACTTGCTGAAGCATGACTGGAATTTGGGAAAGGAATCACATTTACTAGGATTTATGTGCTAGGTTTTGTGCTATGTGGTAAGACCAATCTGGGTTTTGTGAAATGAGACAAATACAGAAGTTGTACCTTTAAATCTATAATTATTCTCCTGTAAGATCTATTTGGATCATGGAGTTTTGAGGTAGACATTAAAACTATAGAAACCTCTGACTTTGTCTTCCTTTCTGTCTACATTTCCTTGGCTAATCTCAAATGTGGCTGTTCTGAAAACATTTTACATAATTATAAAGTCTTTATAGGACAACAAAGAAACAAAACAACACTTTGATTATGTGTCATTACATTCTAAAGCAAACCATCATCTGTAGCTTTGCTTATTTCATGTTGAAGTGAAAATAGCGAGTTTTGACAGAACTGGATTTAAATCCTAGCTCTTAATAGCTGGGTGGTGTTAGGAAATTTATTAAATTTCTCTGAGCCTAAAATTTTCTTATAAATATGGGGTTGTTGTAAAGTTTGGATAAAATTGTTTTTATGGTTTTATTAACTTATTTTAGTCATGCCTATCCTTCAAGGCATTACTGTTAAGAACTTTTTGTGATAGAAATGTTCTATATTTGTAATGTCCAATATGGTAGCCATTAGACATATGTGGATATTAAACAATTAAAAAGTGACTAAAAACAATGAAGAATTTTGTCTTTTTTAAAATTTATTTTCTTCTTTTTTAAAATATATTTTATTTTATTGATTTTGTACAGAGAAGAAGGGAGAGAGATAGAGAGATAGAGAGTTAGAAACATCGATGAGAGAGAGAGTCATCTATCAGCTGCCTCTTACACACCCCCTACTGGGGATGTGCCCGCAACCAAGGTACATGCCCTTGACCGGAATCAAACCTGGGACCTTGCAGTCCCCAAGCCGAAGGTCTATCCATTGAGCCAAACCAGTTTCGGCAGAATTTTGTCTTTTAACTTAATTTTAATTTGTATGGCTGTGTGGAATAACATACTGGATGGTGCAGTTTTTAAAAATTGAGATTTAAGTGACATTAGCTTCAGGTGTACAACATGATTTGATATTTGTATGTATTGCAAAGTAAAATGGTCATCTGGTTAGGATCCATCACTACACCCAGTTATAATTTTTTTCTTGTGATGGAGAACTACTCTCAGCAACTCTCAAATATATAATACAGTATAATTTTAAGTGCAATTTTAAGGCTCATTCAAGACCTACCCTTTTCTTTATGAAGTGTTCCTTGCCCAGTAATTCTTAACATTACTTATTGTCTCTACCACTTATTTGGTACTTACCATAGACATTAATTTCCATGAATCTTATTTCTCCAATTAGATTGTCTTTGAGGTTATGAAGTTTTAAATCTTTAGATTGCTGTATAAAAAAGAACATGGTAAAAATATACTTGAAATATTTTTAGTTAATAAGTTTTAAATAAAGTAAATGTAAGAGAAAAAATATTCTAGTTAGTAATGATGTGAAGAATAGTGAATAGTCTGAAAGTCGCTTGCAGCCATGAACTTACTGTCTAGTATGCTTCACCTGAAAATTCAGATTACACTCAAGCTCTGGAAGAGGAAATGGGTTTCTTATATTGCCATCTTGTGGCCAACTTGGGCTCCAAGTGATGGGAATTCAATTTTGCTTTGTCAAGGGAAAGTTTATTGTGATAAAAAGTTTCCCAATAGTAAAGGCTAAATATAATCTATATTGGCTCAAATGAAAGTGAAACATGATTTGGAAAGCTATTTTGGGTTATCTTCTCATTTACCTGAATCTTAGCTTTCCTTCCCTTAAAAAATTTTTTAAAAGGGAGTTTCGTAAATTTAATGACTAGTTATATATGTTCTGCAGTCACACACACACAGAGTGGAGAAGCTGGCAGTAACCAGGTCATTTTTATGGCATCTTCCTGCATTTGTTCCCATGACTGCCAAGCTCTCAGCCAGCACACGGCTCTTGTTTTGCATACCTGTTCTCTTATTGAGAGACTGCTGACTATTATAAACTTTCAGGGGATGGTTAAACTTATTATATGGTTTTACCCAAACTTTTAAATTTATACAAAAAGCAGAGCTGGTATAGAAGTTTGCCCTAATCTGATACTGAGTTTGAGCATTTGATGATATCCTGCAAATAGATGGGCCAATTTATAATAGTGAATGGAGATTTAAGTAAAAGAATGGGCAGTTTTCCTGGATGTAATTTTCCTTGATGCTATGTGGGTGTGATTTGGTGTGGAGTAGGCTGGTATACATTCAAATCTTGTAATTGTAACCTTTGTGTATTTTTTAATTTTCCAGAGATGATGCCTGATAGTTGATAGATCCTGTAGTTCAACCTTATCCTAGATACAAGCTGGATTGATCTGACATCAGAGGTAGGTGTGAAAGAAAAATCTTCATTTTTACCTCATTTGGTTTTCTAATCACCCAGCAAGTTTTGGGGCTCAGTGTTCTTAGTGGCTGAAAGTTGGTAGTTGAAAAAGCCTTAGTTCTACCCTCAACAGGGTTTCCTGGTTTAGGGACAAGGAGCTGGTTTTCGTTTGCCCTTCACCAGTCATTTACAGTTTGCCATGATGAAATGCATGTTAAGTCCGTGTTTCAGCTGATATCCTGATTAAACACATGCTCTGAGCAGACTAAAGCTAGGGCAAACACCTGGAATTGAATTCTGATTCTTGGAATACTTACTGGGATTTATCTCATGATCCCAAGTGATTCCTAAATCTTTATTAATTTGAAACTACAATATTTCATTGTGATATGATCTTTTGACAAAAAAAAAATCTCTCTGAGATAGACAGAAACAAGGCTAAGAATTTTTCATTAGTTAGCTGGATGTCATCCCCTGCACTGAAAGGCTGTCAGTTTGATTCTAGTCAGGCCACAAGCCCAGGTTTCTGGCTCGATTCCATGTATGGGGTGTGCAGGAGCAGCCAATCAATGTTTTCCTTTCACCTTGATGTTTCTCTCTCTTCCTCTTCTTCCCTCTCTCTGTAAAATATCAATTTAAAAAAATCTTAAAGGAATTTTTAATCTAAAAATTCAAACAGTAGAGAAAAAGCACTGGTAACTGATATAATTCCATCAACCACTTAGTAGTTTTTAACTAATCACTATTTTACTAGTCTGTAAGATTAAGAGAATCCATGTGTTGGTTAAATCAATTTTGTCAAATCATATAATTCAAGATTATACAGTCATTTAAAAGTTATGGCACAGGATTACCTTTCTTGAAATGGAAGGGTATTTATAAAACATTAAGTTAAAAACGAGTTATAGCCCTAACTGGTTTGGCTCAGTGGATAGAGTGTTGGCCTGCAGACTGAAGGGTCCCAGGTTTGATTCCCGTCAAGGGCATGTACCTTGGTTGCAAGCACATCCCTAGTGGGAGGTGTGCAGGAGGCAGCTGATCCCCAGTATGGGGTGTGCAGAAGGCAGCTGATCAATGTTTCTAACTCTAACTCTATCCCTCTCCCTTCCTCTCTGTGAAAAATCAATAAAATATATTTAAAAAAATAAAAATAAAACAAGTTACAGAGCAATACATATAATCCTTTTCCGTTTAAAACATTTGTATGTACTTACTGAGAAATCACCTGAAAGGATATACTCAAATACTAGGGATTATTGTCTCTAGAATTGGGTTCTATGGGTGATCTTATTAACCTGTATTTTTTGACTTTATTATATTATTGTGCTATATAATTTTAAAAGTTACTTTTAAACAACCTATATAAGACAGGCTTCTATTTATTGTATTTATTTTTTTAACCTGTGCCTGCATGTTTCAGCAAGGAAAGAGGGGTTCACATAAGGGCGAAAAATAGGAACTACAAATAATTTAAACTAATATCAGCTCTTACAGTACTGTTTTAGCTTTTGGCCATGTCTTTTTCAGAAACGAAATTTCAGGAGACCAAAACTAGATCTGAGTTTCTTTATAGAAACTTCTTTTCCAGCCTTGAAACTCTTGGATGCTACAAATCCTGGAAAAAATATAGATGACAACAACATTTTTCTTTTATGGTAAGGATTATGCTGAAATTGAGAAGCTTTGACATACATAAGAATCTTTGAAAATTCAGCATTGTGATAAGGCTAGTTCTGATAAGGTGCTATAAGTTTAAATTTTTTATAAAAAAGTCAATTAAAGATGTTGAGAAGTAGCATATTATAGTAGTTATATATGGATTCTGGAGTCAGATTAGCTTCAGACCCTTCTATCACTTAACCAGCTATGTAACCTTGGCAAGTTTCTCAATATCTCAGTGTCTGTCTTTATATTTTAGAAGAAGATAATCTAGTATCTGACTCCAAGGAATAGTACTTGACTTTGAAGATTAAATTAGATAATAGGTGTGGGGTTTAGAACATTGTTAAGCATATGGTAAATGCTCAGTTGATGCTGGATATTTTATCAGTGCCCATGTGTACATTTATCTTAGACTTTGCATTACCTGAAAATTTCTTATCAATATATATATATGAAACCCTAATATGCAAATATTAGTAGACTGAATGGTTGAACAACCAGTTGCCTTCACATGTGCTGACCATAAGCAGGTGCAAGTGAGAGCGGGTGCAAGTGGGAGCAGCAGGGGCAGGAGTGGGGCTGCTAGGAAAAGGGACTGGGCGGGAGTGCAAAAGATGGGCCAAGACCCACTCATGTGCCCATTGCAGCCTCATGGCACACAGTTCATTTCAAGGTGCATGAATTCATGCACTGGGTCCCTAGTATCTGCATAATAAGTTGTTGGAGATTCTTTGTTCACTGCTTATCTATATCTTCTAATTAGCCTATCTCTCATTATCTTTTACCCTAAAGCCTAATTTTATTCTAGAATTGGAGACAAAATCTATGTATTTCTATATAATTGGTCCAGTAACATTTTCTTTTTTAAATATATTTTATTGAAAAAAATATATATTTTATTGATTTTTTTACAGAAAGGAAGGGAGAGAGATAGAGAGCTAGAAACATCGATGAGAGAGAAACATTGACCAGCTGCCTCTTGTACACCCCCTACTGGGGATGTGCCCACAACTAAGGTACATGCCCTTGACCGGAATCGAACCGGGACCTTTCAGTCTGCAGACCGACGCTCTACCACTGAGCCAAACTGGCTTCGGCAACATTTTCTTTAGTTAATTGTTTTGCCACTAATTTATTTTATCAAGTTCCTCATTTTACCTATCTAGCTGGACTAATTGATATTTAATGGTTTGTTGAGTTCTTGGCTGACTATAAAAATTTAGAGGTAGTGATTCCTATAAGAATCACTTGATGTTTTTAATAAATACTTCTTATAATAGACCATTTATTAAAATATTTGTTGAATTAGTTGGATAGCCCTAACTGGTTTGGCTCAGTGGATAGAGCGTTGGCTTGCAGACTGAAGGGTCCCAGGTTTGATTCCAGTCAAGGGCATTAACCTTGGTTGCAAGCACATCCCTAGTGGGAGGTGTGCAGGAGGCAGCTGATTGATGTTTCTCTCCCATCAATGTTTCTGACTATTTCTCTCTCTTCCTCTCTGTAACAAAATCAATAAAATATATTTTATAAATTGGAGATAAATTGATGGCTGTTCCTCTCACTGCTTGCAGCCTTAAGTAGTGGGATTTTAGTCCATCATATATCTAAGCTGACTTGTCTTCACTCAGAGCACCATGGGATGGGTTGGCTGTCCATTAGTGCCTTCTGATTTTTGCGGAGTCAAACAATTACAAACCAGGTGGTAATGTTGGATTAAAAAAATTTACCTGTGATTAAAAAAACAAACATAAATTAATTTTAAAACATGAGGATATAATCTATAGAGAAATCTTTAATTGTAATAGTATTTTAATTATACTTATCTGGGGCTCTAGTGTAAAGCTGAAATATAAGAGCTCTAGTAAATTGCTGAAATATTCTATTCTTAAGTCATGCATTTTTAAATGTTCAGTTTTCTACTGATTGTTCACATATTCAAGGAAATAATAAAAAAATTGTTTTTTCTTTTGCAGTATGAAGGTATAGATGGAAGCTGACTTCTCACCAAAAGTGGTTTATAGAATCAACTTAAAAACATGAGGCAGCAAACAAAAGAAAGAGTAAAATATTTCTTCATTATCCTTAGGTTCTTTGCTAGATTGCAAACTCCATGAAAGCAGGATAACTTCCCTATCCTTAATACCCGGCCTAGAATAAATACTCAAAAAATTTTTTTAAGTGAGTCAATTTCCATTAATTTTATTATTTTTTAATCCCTGGAAAATGGCAACTATTTTAATGGGATTTCAGCAAGATATTTATTTATTTATTTATTTATTTTTAATAAGTTTTTATTGTTCATATTATTACAAATGTTCCTTTCCCCCCCCCCCCCCACCATTGCTCTCCTCCACCAGGTTCCCACCCCACCCTCTGCCCTTTCCCCTCTCCCCATTGTCCTCATCCATAGGTGCACAGTTTATGTTCAGTCTCTTCCCACGCCCCCCTCTCCCCTTTTCCCCAAGAATCGTCAGTTCACTCCCCTTCCATACCTCTGATTCTATTATATTCAATAGTTAATATTGTTCATCAGATTTTTTTAATTTCCTTGGTTTTTAGATTCACTTGTTGATAGTTACGTATTTGTTGTTCATAATTTTTATCTTTGTTTACTTTCTCTTCTAAAAGAACCCCCTTCAGCAATTCATATAATTCTGGTTTGGCGGTGATGAACTCCTTTAGCTTTTTTTTATTAGTGAAGCTCTTTATCTGGCCTTCAATTCTGAGTGATAGCTTTGCCGGGTAGATTATTTTTGGCTGTAGGTTCTTGCTGTTCATCACCTTGAATATTTCTTGCCATTCCCTTCTGGCCTGCATGGTTTCTGTTGAGAAGTCAGCTGACAATCGTATAGGTGCTCCTTTATAGATTACTACCTTCTTTGCTCTTGCTTCTTTTAATATTCTCTCTTTGTCTTTTGCTCTTGGAATTTTAATAATGATGTGTCTCGGTGTGGTCCTCTTTGGATTCCTTTTGTTTGGAGTTCTGTGCGCTTCCTGGACTTGTAAGTGTAATTCTTTCACCAGGTGGGGGAAGTTTTCTGTCACTATTTCTTTCAGTATGTTTTCGATATCTTGCTCTCTCTCATCTTCTGGGACCCCAATAATTCTGATGTTGGTTCTCTTGAAGTTGTCCCAGAGGTTTCTTACATTATCTTCAATTTTCTGGATTCTCTTGCCTTCTAGCTTCTGTGGAGGAGTGTCTTCTGGCTCTTTATGTTCCAAATCTTTGACTTGATTCTTGTGATCTTCCCTTCTGTTTTTAGGACTCTGTAAAATATTTTTTATTTCAGACAATGTATTCTTTATTTCTTGTTGATCCCTTATCATTTCTCGATGACTCCTTATTAATTCTAGTTGATCTCTTTTCATATCCTCATAGGCCTTATCCATCTTTTCTAGGAAATTCTTGAAAAACCTTATAAGCGTAGATTTGAACTCTATATCCAGACGCTTTTTGTCCTCCATTTCTTTCGTTTGTGATCTATTTTGTCGTCGCATTTCGCAGTTACAGATGGGGCGGGGTTTCAGGGTGGAGCCTGCAGCTTTGGCTTCTGTCAGCCCCGCCCTATACAGGTCCGTCAGTGCTCGCTGCCGGCGCCTCTGAGAGAAAGGTGCCCTCGATTTTCACCTGCTGCCAGTCTATGCTCTCCCACAATGAGCCCGGTATTGGGGTTCAGTTCATTTGGAAGTGGAGTTGGAGGTGGCGTTCAGAGCAGTCTGGAGCCCCAGTCTCCTTCCCGTCAGGGCAATCCCGCGGCACAGCTGACCGTCCCTTCTCTGCGCGCAGTGTGCGCACCGCCGGGACCTCCTTTCGCCGCTTCCCCGGGGTTCCGCCTTACAGCCCGGCTCCCTATGGCTGAGCCTGAGTCCTCGGGGTCTGGCTTAAAACTGGGGATCAGAGCAGTCGGGGGCCCAGCACAGTCGGAGTTTTATCTCCTTTCCGCTAGGGAACGCCCGCCAGGCACTCGGCCTCCCTCCTCTTCGGCTCCGTCCTCTCCGCGCGCCGCGTCCCCGTACCTTGGCTTTTCCAGCTCCTCCGCACCTCCTTCTGGTTTTCTCCTTGCTTCTCACTGTAGAATTTCCAGTCAGTCAACCTTCCTGTAGTTCTGGGCAATGTCCGTTTTATATTTTAGTTGTATTTTATTGAAATTGTTGTGTGCAGCTGCGGCTAGGTGTTCACCTGGGCGCAGCCATCTTGGATCCTCTAGGTGATCTCAGCAAGATATTTAAATAGAATAACTGGGACTTAATTTTGACTCTGATGTTAAACTATATATATATTGATATATAGGTGCATTAAACTCTATGGGTACCTAAAACTTCCTTTTTTTGAAATAAAAATTACTTATTGATTTTTAGAGAGGGAGGCATCGATTTGCTGTTCCACTTATATATGAATTCATTGGTTGATTCTTGTATGTGCCCTGACTGGGTAACAAACCCATAACCTTGGCATATCAGAATGACCCTCTAACCCAGCCAGGACCTAAGCCTTAATATCTGATTATGATGTTTGATCCTTTAAGAAGCAATAAAGAATGGCTGTGAGAACTATATGTGAGGAATAGATATACAAAAGCTGATATACAAAAGCCTATTAGATATATTACTGATATCTAATAGGCAATCTTTTATTATTAACAAGTTATAGTCTCATTGGATATTTATCATTGGTTTAAATTGCACATACCAGCCAAGAATGGTTAAAAAGTCACTAATTTTGGGGGGAGGTGGTGAAAGAGGGCATAAAGAGGATAAATTATGAGGGGGGAAAATAAAGTTTTTTTTTTTTTTAAGTCATTATTTCTGGAGCCTTCCTTCTTTCTGTGCTGCCTCCTGATGGTCAGCATATGTCATAGCAAGTGACCTAACTCCCGAGGGGACACTTTGCATGTTAGCCTTCTACATATATAGATGTTGAAATATTCTCAGTTGTTTTGGCTAAATTACAGTACAGGGAATTTTTTTGCTCCATATATTGTACTTATATCCATGAGAATGTAAAGTACATGCAAAATATGTAAAATACACATCCAAATATTGGAATTTGGCTATACTTCACTGTGGTTTGGAAAATAATTTAATACTCATGCTTATATTAGAACCATACAAATACTATGCAACTAGAATAAACTGTTGGAATATGAAGCCTGTTCTTTATAGATGATGCTAACAGTCTAATATTCAATGATAATGAGGGAAAAGAACTATAATATAGCTGATAGGTACTTAGACTATCAAAAATCAAATTTCATTGTAACTAGCATTTTTGAAAGGTGAAAGTACCCTGTAATTAAGTGGTATAGGTGATATATAAGCACAAATTGTACTGTCAGTTTATTCAGACTCTTCTATGTTAGGAAAAATGGAATAAAAAAGTTTAAAATTCTAGAAAAGCAAAGAATATAACACTGGGATAGTTATAAGCACAAAAGGAATGATTGATTTGTGTATAGTAAAATTCAAACTTTGCGTGCCATGTAAGTGACAAAGGATTCCATATACCACAAATCAAGGAAATGATCAAAGAATATGAGTGGGCAAGTCACAGATGAGGACCCTTGAAAAGATGTTTAATCTCACTAGTAATCAAAAAGTTACAAATTAAAACAGTGAGATACCATTTCACTGCCATCAGATGGGCAAACATTGAAACAAAAAGCCTGACACTTTCACATGTTGAAGGGTCTGGAACAAGAGGATCTCATCTTTGCTGGTGGCAAAGAAATTTAACTTATATTTTAGAGAATGGTTTGGCAACAACTACATTTCTTGAAAATGCTTATACACTAACCCAGTTTCTGCTTGTTACATTCAATAGGAATTCTTGGCCTGTGTACTCAAGAAGACATGTACTGAAAGTTCATTTCAGTATTGTTTTTTATTGTAAAACTTAGGAACCTATGTTCATTAGGATATGGATAAATGGTGGTATATGTGTAATATTTAACTGTGCTATTAATACAAACTGTATTGACTACATTTCAAAAATGAGTTAAAATGACCTAGTGATGATGTGCTAAAGATAGTAATTTTAGATCATGAAAACAAAGACTGATGTGTACACATACTAAAAACATGTATGAGAATGAGAAACACCAAAATTGAGTTTTACCAAAGGAGAGGTAGGAAGAAAATGGGGTTAAGATGTACATAGTGGTGCCGAAAATTGCATATAACATGTTCATTTAAATATCAAATGTGAGAAAAGATTGGATTTATTAAAGCTGAGTGATGGTCATTCATATATTTTTATATGCTTGATATTTAATAATAAAAAAAACTATTTAAAAAACTTTGGAGAATGGGTCTCTGTATCTCAGCCTTGATTTCAGTGGTCTCATCTACAGAACATCCTAGAAATAAGCCAGGGAAGGGTTTATCTATGCTGTGAGAACAGGTCACATACTACCAAGAACAGTTTAGTTCTTGGTGTTCTAGACTTCTGCAATATTAAAACTTTGTAGCTCCTACACTATATATACACTTGAGTGACCAGATTATTATCTTTGAATGTATAATCTGGCCACTCAGTATATATCCTATATAATAAAATCCTATATAATAAAAGGCTAATATGAATATATCAGCATGCAGGCTGGCCAACCACCCACATCTCCTCCCCCTGGCCAGGCTGGCTGGACCCCACCCATGCATGAATTCATGCGCTGGGCCTCATATCTCCACACAAATATATCACACATACACTGAGTGGCCATATTATGCGTTTAGAGATCATAATTATAATAGATACAGTAACTCATACAGGCTTTTAGCCAAATGGGTTGGAAGTTGGAAAGAAAATGGTGTAGGGGACACTAGGTTTGGGGAATCTGGGATGATCTTAATGAAGTAGGAAGGGATATTGTGGAATAAAGGCAATGGCTAGGATCACAATGTTAGGTACTTGTGCTGGTGGGATTTGATTGCTTTGTGTTTTAGAACTTTAAATGACAGTGTCCTTTTCTATTTCTACATTTGGCATAGTCAAATCCAGAAAATGCTCAGAAGGCTCAGATTGCCAGAAGAT